ATTAAAATAAAAAGAGAACAAAGTTAAGTTAAAGTAAGGCCGAAAGAAACGCATCATACCTCAGCAATGCTGGACTCAAATCTAGCTCTGAGTTTCTGGAAAGTAAGTAAAAAAAAGGAAAATTAGATTGGATTAGATTAGATTAGATTAGATTAGGTCTTTGCCAGATTAAAGGACAGAAAAAACACAACCAAGGAGTGAAACATACTTTTAATCAACAATTCTATGAAGAATGCTTCATATATGGATTCCAACAAAAATAGAGAGTTTATATTCTGCAGGATCATTTTTGATCACGGTTTTACGGGAGAATTTCCTGCCCAGGTCAAGTTCCAGTATGATTCATCCTAAGAGTATCATGTTTCTGTCCTTCAAACTACTTAGCGGAGTTGTGATTTAGATGTGATTATTATCTGTCTCTTGCACCGAATGAAGGTTAGTTCAATGAGAGTAGAGGCCAAATTACTTTTGCTCGACATTGTATTTCAGGCACAGGGCTGGCGTAAGGAGCACTCAGTAAGGAACTGTTGAACGAGTGAATTCTTCTAATGAAGGTCTTTTATACCATCCCTTCAAACCCCAAGACATTACATTAAATTTCAACCTGTGTAATGAATTTACTCTAAGAGGGCAACGATAATATAACCTAGTCGTTTCTGTTTTGATGATATCATTATTCAGGAATACGGCTTAGAAAATCTAGAGGAATGGGTAAATCAAATGCCCCATAGATTTGTCCCTTCAAATATTTGGTGTCTCTGGTAGGTTTTGGCAAATGCTAGTTCATAGGAATTCATAGTTTTCTGGGAACAAAACGCTTGAACTGTAACTCATTAGAGAAAGATTGAGACCAACATTGAAATGGAACTGTGCACTTTCCTCTGTAAGCATTCAGAAGTCTGGATTTTATTCTTGCCTTGGTGAACTATGTCGCTTTCCGTAGGAGACAATATGGTACAGTGAAATGAGGAGGGAAACTGAGGGCCAGTCAAAACCGAGTTCAAGTCTCAGCTCCGCCACTTTATCTATGAGAAATCAGGTAGAATCTCCTGCCTAAGACACAGATTTGTTCATTGTAACGTGGGGCAATGACACCTGCAATTTCTCAGGATTGTTGTAGAGATAAGTGACAATGAATGAAAGATGTCCAGCACGTAGTGGGGTAATACATAGAATTTGTTTTTTTTAATGAATAGTTTCTTGGAGGCCATCTAGTTAATGGAGCTGAATAATGCTCCATTATGAATAATGGAGCTTTACCAGAGGTACACCTAATGCCCTGGGGGGAATTCTGGAACCAAGATGACTTTTGGGTTCAGCATATATTAATGACAGTTCTCCAGAAGTTTCCACAATGCTCTCACATTGTAGAGCTCAACCAATAGTTGCTGAATTAAGAGTGAATAATGAATCAATTAATAAATTTGGATCTGAAACCTCTGGATTTTGTTTTATTCCGACTAGAATAAAACTCCAAGGGCAATGAACACTAAAGTTCATTTTAGCTTTTACATTGTTTTTATCCATCTATGAGCTTACCATTTGAAATCTGGGTTTTTGAATACCCTTGAAGATTAGTGAATTTAAAAGCATTTTAAAAGCCAAAATGTGTCCCATCTCCTTCTAGCCATCATATAGCACATCTTAAAACAGTCTCTCTATATGTCTGGACTGCAGTAACACAGCATAAGGTTTATTTGCCCACAAATTAAGTATTTAATGGTAAGAAAATATTATTTATCTTTATGGCATATTTTCTGGTAAATATTTCTATTCCTGGAAGCTAGCAGGCACTCAAAGAACTTGGGGGAATAAATGAATGAGTGCCTTCTATTTCACTTCATTTAGAACCAACCTTAACTTTGTTATAGTCTAGGTGTCCCTAACTTGCATAATTGCTTTGGTTGCTAAAACTGGAACATCAGAATTTTCTTTATGAGAAATCTGTTTCATTGAAAGGTAAACAATTCTCTTTTTGTTTGGGAAACAGATTTAGCTTTCAATAACCTGCACTCTCCCATCTGCTCCAACTATGAATTGAACATACAATTTGTCATCATGACAGGATGATGCCAGGTTAGAGTCACTGGGCAGGAACAGCGTCTGGAGTCCACTCTCTTCTGAAAAAGCCATCAGGCCCTTTGTCACGCAGCGCAGGTCATTTTGTTAGTTTGGAGAGCCACAGCGTGACACAGAAAGAAGGGCAGTACTCTCAAGACATCTCAGAAGCGGTGTACCTATTTTAGAAAGAGATACGACTACACATACAAAATAATACAATTATTCCTATCAAGCCTTAAATCTTCAAGCAATTATCCTAAACGTTTGTAAGCAGTTCAAACAAATGAAATAATCTAAGCTTAGGAAATTAAAAGTTTTGTATAAAAAGATATTTGAAAAACAATGGGTATCCTTATTGCTATTTCCAAATCTTTGACATGAAACACAGATGGATGAAAATAGGAAGCTTGGGTTCTAGACACTGATTCTACAGTCCATGAAAATAATGAAAAAATAAAGTAGGATTTTCCTGAAGTCCGTGACTTTGTATCTTTGAAAAAAAAAAAAGGCTGGAGTCAGCCTGGGAGACATCAGGGGTTTGGAGATCCTTCGGGGGACTTCAGAGGGGTGAAAACCATCCTGCTGGGGTTACACCTGCAGTTGTTCCCATTTGCTTACTGATTCTGATGAAATATGAGGTGCATTAAGTTACTGTTTTAAAAAATCCACTCTAAGTCTTTTAGAAGATTGTGGCTACCAGTGCAGAAGGAAGGAGATTTGCACGGCTCCTTTAGAGATGACCACAGCGGCTCTCGAGTTTAGGGAACGACTATCCTGCCGATCTCGCAAGAGTGAATCTGCTGTTGTGCGTTCAATCCCCTCTGAGCATCCGGCACATTTTATTTTTAAGTCCAGCCTGTGAAATGTAAGGGGGCAGGATAAGGGGGTGGGATCTGGTCACTCAGCCCTAGCCCGTCCCGGAGCCTCTCCCTGCACCCAGCAGCCTCCCTTGAAGCCATGTTGACTACAGCAGGGTGAGACCAGGGTGTGTGGCTGCAGAGGGAGTCTCCCTGATTCATACACATGCCGCACGGACAGACGTTTCTTGCCAAGAATGCCTTTTCTTGCTCTCTTTCAAATGAGAGCTAGAGCCCCAGCAGGACACGCGGTGCAGCGCAGTGGTGTGCAGCGCAGTGGTCTGCAGCCCGGGTCCTGCAGTCCGTCTGGGTTTCAGTCAGAGCTCTGCCTCTCTGGGCCTCAATCTTCTCATCCAACAGCACTACCTGCCTTGTGGGATTTGGGGAGGATTGACTAATAAGTGTGGGAAGAGCAGTTAGAGCGTGCCAGGTGTGTAGCATGAGTGTTGCCCTTGGGGTGTGACATGGGCCCTGAATACCCTGAAAGAGGTTCACAGAGGGGGACACTGAGACCCAAAGAAGGGAAGTGATGCTCGCCTACTGCGGATGGAACCAGGGCTCCTAGTCACTGTCCTGAGTTCTCGATACTCTCAGTACTTTTTATTTTTTAGTTTTTAAAGCTTTAAACTTCCTATATCATTAATTCAGAGAACAGAAACTAATTTTCAAGGGGGATTTTTAAATTCCAGGATATGTTCGCATTAACAAGATTTTGTTTATTTTAAAGATAAAAGTTAGCAGATAGGGGGATGGGCCTCGTGGCCAAGTGGTTCTAGTTCCACGTGCTCTGCTTCAGCAGCCCAGGTTTGCAGGTTCCAATCCCAGGCTCGGACCTACTCCACTCATCAGCCATGCTGTGGAGGCTTCCCGCCTACAAAGTGGAGGAAGATTGGCACAGATGTTAGCTCAGGGCTAATCTTTCCCAAGCAAAAAAAAAAAAAAAAAAAAGAGGAAGGTTGGCAATGGATGTTAGCTCAGAGCAAAACTTCCTCACCAAAAAAAAAAAAAGTTAGTAGATAAACCAGTTATAGCTCTTGTTTTCCAACTACAGGTTTGTATTATCATTAAAGTCATTATCAATATGATCAGATCTAGAATCTGTGTAAATTATTAAAAGCTATATGATACCATAAACACCAAAGCTGAGCTGTCTTAGTAGAGAAGGTGTAGAAGAAAGCTAACCTATGCCCATAGGTCTAAATGATGACATTTGATAAGCTTTCTAGAAACGTTAATCATACTATATGATTGAAAAGATAGGATGACAAGTATATTAAAGGAATAGCAATTTTAAAAGAAGATACTTACGTTTCTTAGATTTCAGTATCATACATTTTAATTTTTTGTCACAAAAGTAAGGCAAGAATTTTCACTTAATAGAAATAACATATACTGCTTATGATAATAAAACGTCTCATTAAAGTGAGTTTGAGTTCTAAGAAGTCGAAAATAAAGGACTCACACTGAATCTGACCTTTCAATGATAACAACAAGGGCTATTTTCAATTATAGGTTGTACAGTATTCATTCCAGTATTTCTATGATGTTTTTATTAGTATCTACAAAATCTTATTGTATATTTCCTTGTTGTCTCAAAATGAATAAAATATTCTCATGTTATCCCTCATGAATGATTATTTCATATTAACACATTTTCTTTTAGATGATTTTACTATATTTTTCTACAGAATGGCAAAAATATAGACTTAATCCATTCTCTCCAGGCAACTGCAAGTTAGTATGGAAAAATATTCATATGCATTTGCTATGGATAGTGTATCATCCCTTCCACACCCAGCCAGGATAAAAAAATTATAAATCTACCCGTTTCTAATAACCTCCTTCTACAGTTCCTCTACTGAATTACATTGTTTCTTTCCACCAAGGAGAGAAACCAGCTGAGTAAGTGGAGGTCAGTTTGTGAACATGAACAAGTGTTTCCCACAGAGGGTGTGTGTGTTAGAGTTTGTACACAGAACCCAGACTGGTGGGAAATTGCAAATTAGATTTATGAGAAACTGATGCTGATTCTTAACTTTTCTCAATTTACAGTCCATTGTTTTCAGAAGAGTATCTGTTTCTCACAGGCAAAGGGGAGAATTCAGAGTAAGAAGCCATGGGAAAGTGGGAAGTCCTAGACTGGCACGGTTTCAAAATAGATGCTAAAGTAGGGGATTGGCGAGCATACGGCTGGGCTCGGACTTTTCCCATCGTGGCACAGAGGGACGTTGGAAGAGCTTTAAAAAGCTAAGGGGAGATAGTGACCAGGTAACTGTTTCAGGACACTGGAGCTACAACAAAAACTAACAGTTGGATCTGAGGAAAACAGCACCCCGCCTTTCTGGTGGTTTCTAGGTACCAGTGGGAAGGCCACAACAGAGTTCCTGTCTTTCTCTAGCTCTTCGAAGGAAATCCAACACTCTTCTGCACTCACCTTCTGAACAATTTTATTTTATTCTAGGGGAAACAAACTGAGATTTCAGCATAGGCAAGATGAGTGTTTCTGATGCAGAAACACTGAGAATGTCCCTAACAGAGTGTAACTCTTAATCAGAGTTGTTTATCCACACTGGGAGCCACTGCAGGTCACGCTGTTCGCTTGGTGCCATTTGGTCTGCTCTGACGCCTTTCTGGACAGGAAGTCCTTAAGATTAAAGATTGTACTTTTATGGGCTCAGGCCTGCCCAGTCCAAGCTATTAACTGGAGAGAAATGTAACTAGAAGTCAATTTCTAGAAAGGATATTAACAATTATTTGTGTGTGTGTCAGAATGAAAAATAGGAGGAAATCAAGGTGGAGTAATAGAGGGAAGAAGCACTAAGGAGAAACCAGCAAAGTAATTGGAATATTGGAAATAAAAGTATTTCTGTGTTGAAGTAGAATTTTCTTGTTTGGTGTTAGTATAGCATATATAATTAAAACAAAATTGATAAAGAACTTAGGATATTAGGATATTAACAGATAGGCCAAATGAAGGATTTCATCTTACTCTCTGCAGCCGCCTTTCACAAAGGACTTTTTTTTTTGCAAAACAATGTCTTGGCAAATGGAAGCAAGTAAATATTTGAAGAAAGTAAAACTGGCTGTGAGTGCAGGAGAGAGAGGCCGTTTGTTCTTTCAGCCAGCCTTGCTTGTGGCTCATTTCACAGTTGTTTAAAGGGAGCACATTTTGAAAATCTAGTTTCTTCATACAAGCCTGGTAGGTGACTGATGGTTCTGTACCTCATGTACGTGCCACCGGGGTTTATATTTTTACACATGTTTGTCAAGGTAAGGTAACAAGGTGCCATGTATGATTAAATTATACTTGAGAAAATGCTTTAGCTTTTCAAAATGAATAATTGTTAATACAATAGGAAATTCATATTTATTTCCCATGTGTGCTGATTTTAGGATAGTTTTAAAAGCCATAACTTTGAATATAAGATTTTAGAGATGACTGAAATTTTTGGCATTTTGGATGTGTGTGTATGTGTGTATGTTGGGGTGTTCACTTCAACATAAAAATGAAACTGTATTAACATTGTACATGAAGAAAGTTTTAAAACATTTAATTCTTTCTGGTTCTCTGTTAAACTTCAATAAAACCAATAAGCACTTGAATTTACTTCAGATCGAGTCACAAAAATATTCAAATAGTCCTTAATATGAAAAATAATTCAAACAATTTATCAATAAACCAATTGCTTATTAATACATAACAATAATTATGTACTTTAATTTAATGTTCATTTAAAAACTAGAAGGTCAAAAGTTTGGCATTAATAAAAGAAAAGCTTCCTAAAAGGAATACCAATAGCCCCTTCATGTTTTGGAAGGGAAGAATACTAGTGATTTTAAACATAAAATTTGGTATATATTCAATTTAGAAAATTTTAAAATACAGCAAAAAATGTAAAGAAGAAAGTAACAGTCATCCATAATCTCCTCGTCCCTGGATAACTGCTGCACACCTTTTCGGTTTGCCTCCTTTCAGCTCTTTTTCTGTGCACAGGGATGTCTTTAAGTAGCTTTATACTACTCTATCAATGGCAGTGCTTTTAAAAATGGAATTCGATCTTGTATTGTTTTTTAGATACTGTAACAAGAATGTTTTCTGATTTCTTTATTCTTTCACGATTTACATTATAATTTATTTATTTAATCAATCCCCTTTAGTTAGGTTACAATTTTTAGGAGCAGGAAATTTAAAGGGGGAAGTTGTCTTAACAGCCGCTCGGGGCTCCTCCCAGCGCAGCTGTGTTTGGGGCCGTCAGGTGTTGAGGACAATGCATTTATTGACCTTTCCTTGGAGTACATGCCTTCCTACTCTCCTCCCAGTGTTTCTACCTGGCGCTCTTCTCTACAGATCTCGCCTTTGAAAACCCTCTCCTATTAACTAACATAAAACTGCTCAATTTATTTTGGACTTTACACTGTAGCAAAAAAATTTTTTTAAACAGTTGTCTTGGATGTTTCCATTTGGGTCATGGGGGGTTTTCAGAGCCTGGATATTATTTGCATCCATTTTAGGTGCACAGTTTCAATTCTTAAATACGAAAATAGACTGTCCTTGTGCAGATTTCCTCAGATACTCCGCATGCAGCTTCCTTCCAGTCTGTAAAAAGCCAATTTTGCACTTATCTGACAGGGCTAAAAATGCTTGCTTTCCTGTTATTTTCCTCCTTTTTGTCTTTATATAGATAATGTTTTGTAAACGAAAGGTGGACGTTTCACAGCAGGGCCTGAGAAGTCGCGCTGGTTGGGACCAGAAGACAGCTTCAGGTGAGGGTGTGATGACGCGGGGGGGGCGGGGAAGGGGGGCTCCCTGGAACCGTGCTGGGCAGGTGGACCCCTCTCAGTGCCCAGGGAGAGCAGCTGCTGGATGAACCTTTGTCTTAATACTTTCAAGGAAAGGGAAGTTTCTCATGGTTCGTGCACGTCGCCGATGAAGCGTGTAGTGGGGTGCACAGTGAGCTAACACTTCTGGCGGTCGTTGGAGCCCCATCCATCAGCATTCTTCCTATTGTCTTCTGCATCAGCTGAGACACATGCAGGGCAGCAATCCCGACGGCGTCATTCTCCTTACGTAGACCTGGACTTTCTAGTCTTTACATCTTTTTTTTTTTTTATTTTTGGCGAAAGAGAAAATGAGTAATCACTGGTTACTCTTAGCTGCTTCCCCATGCTTCTTTTTCTTCGCGGCCAAGCCCACTAGTGAACTGGTTCCAGAGCACAGGAAGAACGCGAAGTGCCCAGCTTGGCTGGGCTCTGACGACTATTCTCTCCATGAAATCTGTGACCACACTAATTGAGTTCTCACAGGTATCAATATGCGCATGTGCCCAGTGCCAGAAAACTGCGAATCTACACGGAGATCTCAGACTGTTGCCAGGGCCGCTATAAAATAGAGAAGAAGAAAAAAAGCCCAGTGATAAAGGCATGTGGAATTTTGTTCACCTGAATGTAGTAAATTAAACAAAATAGAGTGATCACAGAGTGATAAACAAAAAAACGATGCAAACTAATTACAATTTTAACACTCCCCCAGCAGCTTTGATTGACATTTAATAGTTAAGCCAGCCCGTTTGTTTTTCAGGCAGAAGCTCCTGCCGCATGAATAGGTCCTGCCTTGCAGCTTGTGGACAAGCGAGTGAGCGGCCTGGAGGAGCCTGAGGGGTCTATGACAGACGCAGCGGTGCGGCCTGCCTGCTGACCGCCGGCGTTCACTCAGCTCCGCTCAAAGCCCCCTCCCCTCCCCTCCCCTCCCCTCCCCGCCGCTTGCTATTCACGGAGTAGAAGCCAGGCGTGGACTGGTTTTAATGACTTCAAGACACAGATGCTGCAATTACCTTCAGAAGCAGGAGCGCGATGGACTTTGAGTGGTGGTAGGCTTTCCGGACGGTGGGCCGTGCAGGGGCCACGTTTATGGCTGCTAATCCTTTCAGGTCGTCAGCGCCCATTGATCTCTCTACTTCCAGCTGTTGTCAACACAGATGGTACGGGGCTTGGAATGCAGAGCAGGCAAACCCTGCTTGTATTTATGCTTTACACTCTCATACTGGAGATTTAATTATGAATACTAGTACAAAAGAAAGAGTAGTTTCATCATATTTTATCTGCCCGTTGTTAAAACTAGTCAGGACACCTATACAGACTCCGAGATAGGCTAATGTTAAAGAATTTCATATATTTTAAATACATAAACGGATAGCATATCCATGGATACCCGTGTATGTATATGTATATCCATGAAAGAGGAGATTTAAAAATTAGACTTGTTTTTGTAATAAAGTGCTCACTTCTTTATGTAGTAGTTTCATTACCAATAGGAAGAATTGGAAATTTTTTTCTTATTTTAAAAGATGAAAAATGTGCATGATTGTATTATTCTAACACAATGTTAGAGCAGCAGTCATCAGCTTTGTGCAAATGAGACTCACAGGACAGGGACACAGATGCCTTCAGAGACGACAACCCTGCATAGGTCTCAGGGTTTCACTTTCTCGAGAGGCCGGAGGGTGGGCTGTGGGGCCGTGACCACGCTGGGAGAAGCCCAGCCTCGGGGGCCCGGGCAGCCCTCTGCCGGTTCCTCCCTCACTCTCGAGCCTTCCATGTTCACGTTCAGTCCTGCTGCCTGGACCCACTGTCTTGTCTTCCAGACTTTCCACTCTCTGTCCAGCCAGCTTTCTTTTGTGACTCTGTCGAAGGTCCCTCTTACCTCTCGCTGCCCGTCAGGCTGCATTTCTTCCTTTGGTCAGATGATGATCCTTTGTGTATGTCCCCACCAAAGAACTCAGAGCCTGTCCACATTTCTTAGCTGTCTTTCATTCTCCGAGCTACTTGAGGGCAGTGACTGCTTCATCATCACTGGCACACCCAAAGCCTACCATGGTCCCTGGCAACAGGCATGGTCTGTAAAAGTGTGTTGCATGACAGATGTTGGCTCAGGACTAATCTTCCTCAGCAAAACAAACAAACAAACAAAGTGTGTTGCATGAAGGATAAATACTAATGCAGATTTAACCAAGGACAGAACCTACATTATGAAGAATGAGCCCTTTTGAAGAAAGCTTGCTGGTGGATGCTGCGGTACACCTCTCAGATCTCTCCTTTCAAAACCAGGCGCTCACTCCCCAGCTGCCGGCAGCGTGGCCTGCTGGGAGCTCACACTCATTGCTTCCCAGTGTGTTCATTTCCCAGGGTGGGCCGCCGTTGCTACAGTGACAAACATGTGCAACAGAGAAATAAACAACCAAACGTGTTCTCTCATAGTCCTGGAGGGCAGGAGCCTGAGGTCCAGGTGTCGGCAGGGCCTGCTCCTCCTGAAGCCTCTAGAGGAGATTTCTTTGCCTCTTCCAGTTTCCGGTGGCTCTAGGCATTTCTTGCTTGTGGCTGCATCATTCCAGACTCTGCTTATGTCCTTTCATGGCCTGCTCTTCTTTCTATGTCTCTCCTCTGTGTGTCTCTTATAAGGACACTTATTATTAGATTTAGGGCACACCCGGATAATCCAAAATGATCTCATCTCTAGAGCCTTCACTTCGTTACATCTGCAAAGACTCTTTTTCCAACTAAGGTCCCAGTTCTCAGGGTTAGGACATGAACACATCTTTGGTGGGGCGGGGATGGGATGCTCCAAGTCTGTGGTCATTTGCCACGGCAGCCCTAGGAAACCACACTGGGTGCATATTCCCCTGACAAAAGGGAGCTGCCCTGGATGAGGCCATGCCCTCTACGGTGGGCAGACCTTACTCAGTGCCTGGTCAACGGTGGGGTACATAAAGGCTGGTCCGCTTGCCTCAGTTGGTGACAACTCTGAAGGATCATCTCAGCTCCAGAGCTCTCCATGGGAGAGGCGGAGGTCTCTGTTTCGACTCTGTCACAAATCAACTCCCCTCCCACCCTCTGCCAGCTCCTCCCTCCAGCACGTGTCACGGGTTCTGACTGGGAGGGCGGGCACTCCCAGGAAGCCACCTGCATCAGTTTCATAATGTGTTTTCTGCTGAACTCTACTGACAACATGTATCAATTTATTAGGACTAAAAATTTGTTGAAAATATCATTTATTCTTCTGGGTAATCTTCTTGAATTCAGCCAAGGTAATATAAGCTGTATGCAAATAGGTGATGTTGTTAAATAAAAATGAATGGTGAAGTAGTTCCTACTTCTTTGGTAGTGGTTTTTACTTCATTCGTTTACACGTGGGGGCTCCAAAGACTGTCCACTCTAATCGCATGAGCACCGTCTATAGAGCTGGTGTGAATAGCAGTGATTGAGTAAATATTATTCCATATGGACATTTTTTATGACTACTCTTGGCTTCTTTCTGGAGCAGTGCGGTGTGTGGTCTAGAATGATACTGTCCACTGGCATTTATCATCCTTTCACCCATAGATGAAAAGCTTCCCAAAGTACATTTATTTTAATGATGAACAGCCCAGGTTCCAGAAGGCTATTTGACTTGGGTTCCAATGCCGGCTCAGACACTGACTTGGTCTCTTGTAGCTTTCCTAGGCTTCGACCTCTTAGCTGTAAACAAAGGTGATGATAGCTGAGACAGAGTGTCTTGAGGATGAAAGGCGCCTCACGGGTACAGGTTTGGCTCAATGCTGGCACACAGGCAGAAGTAAGTACATAGTGGTCCTTGTTATCCCTTAGATCTCCCGCCTCCACTGGCCTCCAAGTGCATGTGACGATGGCCTCTTGGAGGCAAGTAGAATGGAGAGTCCCTGGGATGAGAGGAATCAGCACGTGCAGGAGGTCTCTGAATCCTAGTTTTGTTCACTTGCAGGGTGTGGTTTGGAGGCTGTGAACTCACCTTTTTCTCCTTCGGTCTCAAGAGAGCATTATCCCTGGTCTTTGGACTCAGAAAAGAGGTTCATCAGTGTGCTATCTTGGACACACAAGTGAGAAGAACATCCTGTGAACTGCGCACGTCCCTCAGGTCGGGTTTGAAGGTCGAAGCCACCTGATTGGAAAGAAGACAGTCTGGCCCCTGCGTCTGCTCTGCTGAGGCTGACTGTGTGGCTGCCAGGAAAGCAGGTGGGCGAGCCTGTAGGCCTGAGGCAGCGGTGCCCTGTGGGGTGCTGGGGAGCAGAAGGGCTTCTAGTTACTCTGCCTGCCAGGACAGAGGGTTGTCACCGACACGGAGCTTCAGGGTACCACGTTTGATCTGCAACGGGCCGGTCCTCCAAATCTTATCTCGTTCCTACTTAACTGTGGCTGTCTATACCAATTAATTTAAACAAATGATTGCCACATCTCCTCTTTACTATGTGTAATTTTGGTATAGTTTAAGCTCCTGATCCAAGCCTAACCCCTATTCAGTAGACTGAGAACTAGGAAAATATTTATTCACCATAAAATACTGTATGCCCCGTGTGATGTTTCTTAGGTATTTTGTTTGTTTAGTTTTTGAGCTCTTTTATTGAAAGATAACATTCACAAAGTAAAAGATGTAAGTTTTAAGTGTATAGTGTGATGAATTTTGATAAATATATACATTTATGTGACCAGCACCAAGGCAATACCAGGCCTAGAGGCCTCCAGCTTACCCCTCCCCATCAACACCCCTCCATCAACGCACCCTCAGTTCCAACCTCCATCCCTTTCGCATATTTTATTTTGATCCTTGAGGGCTAATTATGTTACCATTGAACTCTTCTATATAATAATTAATTATAATGAACGAAATCTCTCTGAAGTGATCAAGGGAAAGAGAAAATAAGGCTCAGGAAAGTTCAGTTACTTGACCAACAGAGACCAGTTACAGGTGGTACCTCTTGCTTCTCCCAGTAATTCAGATAGTAAACAAAAAAGCTGATAGAAGGTGAAAGCTAGTTAGCAGAGTTATTAAAGGTGGTCAGAAGAATTATTTTCTAAATAAATTTTCCTTGTATTTATGAGACCTTGAATGCCACAGTGAGTTGGAAGCAGGTACGACTATGACCATGAGACCTAACCAGCGTTGTTCTAGGTATTATCTCATGTGTGTTATCTTCCTTTCTTATCACGACGCAGCTTTCCCAGGTAAGTACGAACATCCTCCCTGTCTTACAGGTGAAGAAGCAGAAGCACAGGGTCATTAAGTCATTTACCCAAGATCACAGAGCTAGTTCTTGGTGCCTCCTGGATTTTAATGCAGAATTTGTACTCCTGAGCACTGCACTATATATTTTTTCTTTTCCATATCCTTTCAAAATAGATAAAAATCATATGATTAAAGAAAAAAATTAAAGAATATTCAATGAAAGTTGAAATCTAAATTCTTTAGCCCAAATTGAGTTTTTGTTTTTTGAGGAAGATTAGCCCTGAGCTAATATCTGCTGCCAATCTTCCTCTTTTTGCTGAGGAAGATTGGCCCTGAGCTAACATCAGTGTCCATCTTCCTCTACTTTATATGTGGGATGCCTACCACAGCATGGTTGCTGAGCAGTGCTATGTCTGCACCTGGGATCTGAACCGGCGAACCCTGGGCCGCCGAGAAGCAGAACGTGCACACTTAACTGCTGCGCCACCAGGCAGACCCCCTAAATGGATTTTGATTTCATCTTATTATTATTATCTAGATTTTACAGATGAATATTTATTAGCTGAATTATAAGTGCACCTTTTAGCCTTCTAGATAATGTTGATAAGAGTCCTAGAAATATAAAACTTAAGTTAACATCTCATGATCAAGTTATAGTTACCATCAAGTGGACTCACCGAACTTAGGGAATCTTGGTCAGAAATATCCCCAAGAGACCATCCCAAAGGTCTGGGAAGCGGCAGATATACAGATGATCTGACAAGGGACGTGTATAGAGGCTTATGAGGGGCGATGTTTTCCGGCCATTGTGTTGGCTCCATCTCTTTCCGACATATAGTCTAACCATTGTCACCCATGCCCATTTGATTTATAACCTTGTCTTCATTTCCCATGGAACTGGACCTCTCCCTGGACCTGGATATCTTACTATCTAAACCCAAACATAATGGCTACTGAATAGCCATTAATGTGTTGTCTCAATTTTCATAACCAGACATGAAAGTTTCACAAGTGTCCACCTTGCCCCTCAAATGATTTCCCTCAAATAAAACATCTCTCAACATGAAATGATTGTGTGTTGAGGGTGAGGATGGGGCCCCCATTCTTCCCCAAGTATGTCAAAGCAAATTAGAAATAACAGGAAGCTAAATCTGCACAAATTTATCCATTTATCCATAATACCCATTTCAACTAAAGCTTCTAAACTTACGTTAGCCACTTACTGAGGATCAGTTACCCGACTTGCTGAGTGTTAATTATTCCTGTGGCTCTGAATTACATGGTGAAAATTCAGATTTAAAAGAGAGTATGCTGGAGTCAGAGCAATAAACACAGCTCCTGCTGCTGCTTCTTTGATTTTTTTTTATAATCAATGGAATATTTATTACTCTTTCTACTCAAATACACCCACACAAACACACACACATATATTTGGTGACCCCTAAGATGAACACCTGGACTACCATGGATTGAATATTTGCATCCCCCCCAAATTCATATGTTGAAATCCCCACCCCCAAGGGTGTTGATATTAGTAGGTGGGAACTTTGGGAGACGCTTAAGTCACGGGTGGAGCCCTCCTGAAGGGAATTGGTGCCTTATGAAAGAGGCTCCAAAGAGCTCCCTATTTCTTCTGCCATGTGAAGAAATAACAAGAACTTTGCCACCCGGAAGAGAGCCCTCACCCATCTGTGCTGACCCTTATCTTGAACATTCAGCCTCCAGAACTGTGAGAAATAAATTCCTGTTGTTAATAAGCTACCCTGTCTGTGGAATTTTGTTATAGCGTCGGGAACAGACTAAGACATGAACCATACTTAGGAGGAGAGAAAATATAGTATATGTGTTAAAGGCACGTGACACAAGAATTCAGAGAAGGTCAAGATCAATGTCACCTTGAGTATTCGGACAGACTTCATGGGGAATATAGAACTTATATATTTGTAAGCTTGTCCTTGAGGAATGAGAAGGACTTGTGTGAACCATCAGAGAAGCAGCGGGCTATCTTGGTGTGAAGCAGCATGAACATAGGCAGCAGCATGGTTTTTGTTGGGAAGAATGAGGCTAATTCAAAAAAAGTAAAGCTTGAACATGGGCATTTACATCGGTCAAGGAGGGGCTTATAAATCTGGAGACAAATTATGAAAGACTTGAGATTTTTAATGTCAGATAAACACAGAAATGTTGAAGTTCAGAATTAAAGAATGACTTCGTGAAAGAGATCGTTCGGTATGTTTATTTTGGATCAATCACATAACAGAGACTTTAAGCAAAAAGATGACTTTGGAAACTGTAGAAGTAAGGGAGCGAATAGGGTGGCAGTGGAGGGGAAAGAAAAAGGGAGGATGTGGGAAATACTGCAGAATAATAACTATGAAGGTAGAGATCAAACAGAAGGATGAATCCGATGGATCCCAATATATTAAGTCTCCCGTTGGAAATGCTACTGACTAAAGGAAGGAAGATGGAATGGAAGCTGCATTGGTTGAAAGGGGATAAATTCAGTTTTGTATGTATTAATTTTGGTATCCATGTTGAAATGTTCTATATGCATGTTCTCTGGGATGGTAAATATTGGTAGCAAATTCACAGATATGATGACATTTTGAAGAGGACAGTATCAGTTAGCAGGGAGTATGTGGGATAGGCTTCAAAATCCTGCAAGAAAGCAAAGAAGGACCTTCCTTAATTCAACAAAGTTTCATTAGGTTCCCATTAAGTGCAAATCATGGTACCCAGTATTGGGAAACACAAATTCTTTCTCTTAAATTGATCACGAGGGGAAACAGCACCCATGGGAAGAGTTGTAACGATGTGGTGAGCACTTTTACAGCAAGTTCTCAAGGGAGGGGAGAGAAGGGAGGGCTTGGCAGTGCCTGTGTGAGTGTCGGTGAGGGAGGCGGTTCGAGGGAAAGTCTCACAGTGGAGGCAATCCGCGAGGTAGGTTTTAGTAGTTCTAGGACACGTTGTAAGAGGACAGGATGACCGAGGCAAAGACTAAAGCAAAGAAACAGCTCCTTGATTTTATGAATAATCATCAAATTGCCTGTAGCATCTGACAAATTAATTCACAAAATTAGCGAATAGGTCATGGGGGAGATGAGGCTAAACAAGGGGCGGGATTCGTGTGCTGTACAAAGAGTTTTAGACTTTAGTCTGTAGGTGATGAGGAAACATGGAAAAAGCTTTCATCTTCAGGGGGACTTGATCGTTTTTGAGTTCCAAAATGATCGGTGCAGTGTCGGTATGAACGATGAACTGGATGGGGTATCACAACAATACTGTTAGGAAACTAGTGTCTATAACTTCTGGAGAGAAATGCGATGATTTGTACTAAAAACTTGGCTATAAGAAAGGACAGGAAGGGTCAAATTTCAAGTATATTTATGAAGTAGAATGAACAGAATTGATGTCTGCTTGATGAGAAGGCAGAATTGAGGATAACTCAGCTCTTGGGTCCCTGGGCTCTTCTGTGTGGTAAGATAGGGCATAGGGAAACAGCAGGTTTAAGGCACTAGAATCAACCCAGGAAGTTAATGACTTCAGTGTTGGGCATGGTGACTTTGAGGTGTACTATAGACCAAATGTTTTTGTGTTCCTCCAAAATTCAAATGTTGATATCTAACCCCAATGTGATGGTATTTGGAGGTGGGGTGTCTAGGAGGTGCATAGGTCATGAGAGTGGAGCCCTCATGCATAGCGCCCTTTTAAAGGAGACCTCAGAGAGCTCCCTCTTCCCTTCTGCATGTGAATCAGGAAGTGGGCCTTCACCAGACACCAAACCTTCAGACTTCTTCATCTTGGATCTCCCAGACTCCAGAGCTGTGAGAGATAGATGTTTGTTGTCTATAAGCCACTCAGTCTACGATATTCTGTCATAGCAGCCCAAGAGGACTAAGACAAGGTGTCAACTTGGAGATCTCTAGAAGGCAAGTTTGTAAGTTGGTCTGGAACTTAGAAGAGATGTCTGATGAGAGGTGAAGTTTTAAAATCTTCAGCACAAAGATGATTGAAACAGGACCTGGGTAGATCCCCTCAGGCAATCTGTAGCCTGGGAAGATAGAGGGCTGAGTGTAGTCCTGGAAACACCAACATCCAGGGTGTAGCAATGGTTTGCTGGCACTAGAGATTGTGCTGTTTTGACCCCTATTCCTTGATTAGGTCCCCAGCCCAGGGTGACCTAAAGTAACAAATTTCTTTAAATTGTATACGTTATTTTTTTTCCCCTTGCTTTTTTGGTTTCTAATGCAACTACCGATGTATACTAAATGGAACTGGACTACCGTGTGGAAGAATTTATCCTCGTAATACCAATCTCAGCTTTGGACATTGCTTTCTCTTTGGGTAGGAGCCAGTCACAGATTTGGTGAAAGCTGCTCCCACAGCTTCCGGTAGTCTGATGGTGTCAATAGTTTTTGCCAAGTAGTGAAGGGAGAGAACTTGGAGATGAGAAAGAAGGGAGCTCGCATGTAAGTACGCATGTGCTGGATACTTTACATTCATTGACTGACTTAGCACCTGTCACTACAGGTAAAGTGGGTGTTGTTCTCCCAGCTTAGCAGATGAGAAAAATCAAGACTGGTTGTGTTATTTGGGATCACATAGTTCATAAGGATTGTAGCTGAATTTCATTCCAGGATAGCCTCTTGCGATCAGTGCTAGGTTTCCTGTTTTCTGCCTTCCTTGATCATTTGTCCCATGAGTTTTAATTAAGCTAAAATATTTCCCATGACCCCCTTCACCAGGTCTGAGAAAGGCTGTGAGTCAACACACATCCAGGACAGCGTTGGAGAGAGGGATCAGGTTGTGGTGTCCATACCACATTTTGTGGCATAGGATGGGGATTGGGGGCGACCACCCTCCAGGAGGATGGCTATGCCTCCTTCAAAAGACTAGCTACATTGGGAAGGGCAAAGGGAGAATGAAATGACTTAAAAACCACAACCTTGTTTCTCCAGTCTTCTTTCCTTTCTGACATGGGGTTTAATTTTTGAGACATGGAATTAACCTTTCAAATCTGGGAGAAATCACACACTTCTAAAAAATAGATTTACTCTATTAAAAAAGATAATACATGACCATGGAGCAAAATAGTACAGAAGGAAACATGGTGAGAAGTCATTGTTAGT